AAAAATTAAGCTGAGATGGCTCTGAGCTATTTCTCAGCAGTTATCTTGAAAGAGCGGATTGTGAGGCTAGTCTCTGTTTTATGGTAATGTAGCCCCTCTTGCAAGGGCGTGAGGGTGTTTGGCAATGGTGATTCAGTGTCCCTAACCTCAGTTTAACAAGAGGGTACAAACAAGTTGGATGTATTTACACCCTAATCAGAACTGCAAGCTGTAACCCAGCATGGAAACCTGATTTCAAAATTCCCCCTTTCAAAAAAGCAACTTAGCACCCCAACCCCAAACAGTCTCAGAAGGATCCTTTGGGATGAGGATCTTCACCTTGTGCACAGCCCAAACCACCACAATGGCTCAAGGACTTCCACTGCACAAGGACTTTTGCAATTACACTGACCACACTAACTTCTGCAGCCTTTTCAGTGCTACCCTCTCAGGTCCTGCTCCGATGCCTCAGTCAGTTTCTCCCACTGCTGGGGTCTCCTCTGTGGGGAAGATGATCGTCTCCCAGCTGCACTCATACCTGATTCCTCCACAATCTCGCTGTGGCCTCTTTCAATGGTGCTTGAAGCATATCAGGAAGCAAGGCCTGCTCCCTGCTGCAACCATGCTGGCTCTGGGCAAAATGGCCCCCACGTTGCAGTTCCTTTTCCCCACTTCCCCTCCTGCTAGCCCTCAAAGCAGCTTGGGGAGGGGGCTGTAGTTCAACCCAGCTCCCTGGGTCCCCTTTTTCTGGACTGGGAGTGTCCCCGCACCTCTCTGCACAACCCCTGGCAACCCAGGGACAGGGGTCACAGTAAGAAAGAGAAGGTCTCGTGAAAGAAACCACTGATCTACAGGCCATGTGCATAAATTTAAAATAGAAGTCTGTGATCTCCATGATGAGTGGATTTAATTTAATTAATTTTTGGCTGATAAACTGGCACAAGGGTTTTGTAAAGTTAGCTCAGTTTTTCTCACTGGTGGGTTCTCCTGGTTCGTCTCAATGCTAGTACTGTGATCCTGTAAGATAAGTCCAATGTTTCCATTAGTTAGAATATTGGAAGTGTGATATTGAAAGAGTGCTGGTAAGAGGTTGAACTTTGTTTTCTAGTCCCAGTTGTCTGACCTGGCTCAAAGTTCATAGATTTCATAGACATCAGCCAGTCTGTTAACGATGGCCTGTCTGATAATCTTTTCTAACACCTTCCCCAGGATAGAGGTCAGGCTGATGGGCCTATAGTTTGCTGGATCCACTTTCCTCCCTTTCTTGAAGATAGGCACCACATTGGCCTTCTTCCAGTCTTCAGGCACATTGGCCTTCTTCCAGTCTTCGGGCACTACACCAGAGCGCCAGGAGCTCTCAAAGATCCATGCCAGGGGCTGGGCTATGACGCTCGCCAGCTCCTTGAGTACCCTGGGGTGTAAACTGTCAGGGCTGGCTGACTTGAAGGTATCCAGCTTCTCAAGGTGTTCCTTCATGAGTTCAGCATTGACGGAGGGCAGGGGATCTCCCTCATCTGAGCCCCCTGTCCCGTAGTGGGCAGGAGCATCCCATGGGACTGATGAAAGACCAACACAAAGTACCTATTTAGCAAGTTGGCTTTTTCCTGGGCATTGGTTGTCAGTTGTCCCATCTGGTTTAGCAGGGGTCTAATGTTGCCCTTGCTTTTCCTCCAGCTCCCCACATATCTGAAAAAGGACTTTTTGTTGTCCTTGATATTTGTAGCTGCCTGGAGTTCTGTCACAGCCTTGGCTAAGTTACAGAGATAAGTTACAGAGATAAGTGTTTCTTTCATAGCACAGGAGTTAGTGTCCATTGCCACATGGGAGCTCAAGAGAGTGTATTCTCAAAAGTAATAACTGAAAGTGTTATACCACACCAAAGCTTTTAGTGTCATTATAAATTATATCCATTAATAGTCAATTGTCAGCCCTGACCCTTGGTTTATTTCACAAGTGAAGACTAAAGTAATACCTCATTTTATTTTAAATATTTCCCACCCCAGTAAGATATAAGTAATGCCCAAGCACTGTAACACTTCTTTTTTTTCTTACCACCCCAGATTTGTAACATAAAGCTCCTTTCAGCCTCTACCTACTGTACTTATTGCACTGCTATGTATGTATATAAGTATGTATAGCATGCCCCGTCTTTTACTATGTGAAAGATCAGACACTTACATTCTATAGAAGAGTGTCTGGCTATTATGTAAGTGTGGCCCTTATTTCTGTACCCGGACAAATTCAGCAGAACGTCTGAGAGGAGTCTGAGCAATGCTTTGGCCAGTCAACAGCCAGTGAAAACATCTTAAACCAGTGATTCTCAACATTTTTCCTAATGGGACCCATTTGCAAAGGCTCATGGTCTGTCTGACCCACAGCCCCTGGCTCTGCCAGTGCACAACCCACAGTCCCCAGGCCCCCTGGGCCATGCTGGTGTCCCTCACTCACAACCTGCAGCCCCTTGCCCCCCCTCAGCCTTGCCAGAGGGGCCCCCAGCTGCCCCCCTCCCACTCAGCCCAGAGCGCAGCGGTGGCTCCAGCTCATGCAGGCAGCAGCAGAGTGAGTCCAGCCCCAGCACGGGCTGGGGGGAGAAAGAGGGGAGGCCTGTGGTGTCCCCCGCCCTGGGCTGGGGCTGCTGTGCCACACCAGGCAGCCCGGTCGCAGCCCTTTCCACCCCCAGAGCAGCATCTCCCAGCTGCTCCGTCCCTGTGAGCACCCAGCCCAGCCTCATAGCTCTCCCCTTTCCCCCACTGGGAGGGGCAGACGCCTTCCAGCCACCACTCTGCCCTGCCACAGTCTTGGTACTTTCGCAGGATCCGCGTTTATCAACCTGTAGTTTGCGACCCTCTGAAATCTTCTTGTGACCAACTTTTGGGTCGCAACCCACGGGTTGAGAAATGCTGTCGTGAACAAGACAGAAAGAAAACCAGATTACTCCAAGCCACTGCTGTGTTTTGATTGTTTTTTGCTATGTGCTATTTCCTGAAGCTAAAGAGCTAAAATATCAGATCTTGCAGTGAGGCTCTGCTGGTGGGATAAAATAAAAGGTTCACTTTTTTTAATCTGTTCATTTGTACAGTTCAGCCAACTGCTCCTGTGGACCTCTCTCTAGAAGCAAAGCAATCAGCCGGCACATTGTACCTGTGGGCAAAATGGTCTCCACCCCCAGTAGTCAATGTCAGACCGAGGTGGCTAGTACTCTATTATGAGTTACGACTAAAACCGGAGGGAAAGGAAGAGTGGCAGGTAAGCAAACAGTCAACTTGCTAATAGAAGTTCTCTTTCCAATTAATTCATGAACCGACACCGAATACACTGGCATTTCACGTGCACTGGAGCACCTGTCAAGGGTGAGGGTAGCAAAGTAAAGCTATCCAAACATGGCCATTAAAGATGAGAGTAGGACTGAGGCTTGAAGAAAGGTCAAGTGAGAAATCCAGATATTTGCATTACTGGCCTGGATCCCATATTTGTCAAAGAGAAATTGATTACAACACTAACAAAGCACAGTAGATTTTTCTTGGAGTGGTTATTGTGAATGTGTGTGTTGAAGAGATCCTAGGAAAAAAATCATAGGTCATAAGTGTTTTGCTTTATGGATGTGGTTCTCAACCTTTTTAGACTCAAGGCACTCCTCATTAGACGCTTTTCCTTTTCACTCATTTTTTTTTCTGATTGCAGAAAGAATAATAGAGCAGTTTTTTCTGTTGAAAAGAATTTGGACAGACCACAACAGTTCAGACTGGTTTTGATGTTGTGGATTCCTATTTGAAATCTCTGGCCATGTCCACATGAGAATGGACGTTTGGTTCCCTGGGGACAACTAGCAGCAGGACACCTTGTGCTGACGCTAGTTGTCCCTGGGGAATGCCCGTGCCACGCACACTCTGGTGCACAGCAGGTCACTCCAGGTGGGGTAGGGGAGGCTGGGACCATCACTCGGCTGGCCTCAGTGGCTTTACCCGGAGGCCTCCCAGGGCTGCAGCAGCAGCGATCCTTCTGCTTGGAGCCTAACTGGCAGCCATAGTATGGCCCCGGCTGGCCAGGCTCTGGGTTTGAGTAGCACATGCTGCCCCTGCATGTCCCGCTCCACTTTTTTTTTTGCCCTGCTCCCTTGCGGTATAGAGAACACCTGGATGAACATGTGGTATGTGGTGCTGCAGACGTGAGGAAATGCATACTCAATGGTCAGCACAATTATATTTCTCCTACAAGTCTGAAATGGAGTTTCTGAAGTTGAAAGCAGTGAAAACTAAACAAATCGTTCAAACCACAGGTTCTAAACATCCGGAGAACTTGGTCTCATTTAAGGGAGTTTTGACATTGACTTCAGGTGGCTAGGAAGTCAGCCTTACTTTTTTCTAATTGCTGTTCTCAGGAGTCCTCCCTTCAGTGAGGGCCAGCATTTCAAAGTATGATTTATTGTTTTTAAATAGATAAAATGCTGCAGATACTCATGGTTTCTTTATGCCTTCCAGACTATTTTTGTTGGACAGCAAACCCAATACAAGGTGCTCAAATTGTATCATGGATTGAAATACGTTGTACAGGTCCGCTGCATACCAGACCGTGGAGAATGGAGTGAATGGAGTTCAGAGAGTTACATTCAGATCCCCAGTGGTGAGTGTTTTACTTTAAGAAGACTTAACGAGTTAAATGTAGAGTATGAGGGAGAAAGCAGCAGTGTCTCTCATAATCAGCCTTTAGCTTTTGTAGCCCCCAGGTGTGACAGGCAGCAACTTCTCTCTGATCCATTCATTCCTTGGCTCTGCTTAGATTGGCAGGTGCTATTCAATGCCACTGGTGGTGGTGGATTTAGGATACTAATTAACTAGAAACTGGGCAGAGATCAGCAACTCATTTCAAACCATCAGTCCTCATCAAATTGCATTTTCTTGTCAGCCTGCTTTGGTTTAATTATTTGTATTCCTGAATTAACATGGAGATTGTTGAAATATTGACAATAGATAAAATATTCAGAAGTCCCTAAGTGATTATGGAGCCAAAAATCCATTTTCAGATACCTGACTTAGGCACTTGGGAGCAGTGAAAATCAATGATCGTAGGCTCAGAGATGAAAAAAGTATTATTAGCATCTTGAGGCCATGTTGCAGCCCACATGTACAACCACAACAGCCCCATTCTTTGTGGTGCTTTACTTGGCATCATCCTATTTGAGTTTAAACTGCACCCTTTTCTTTGACCTTCTGTATGCCAGTGATTCTCAACCAGAGTGCCACAAGGTGCCCTGAGGTCCTTTCAAGGGTGTTGCAAGGTACTACACAATGTTAATACCGCTTTGTGTATAAACACAATTTACAAGATTAAATGCAGATATATGAAATAGAAGTCCATGTGTTAAAAGCATTCTGACCTACTGTGGTTTTTCTGAGTTTTCTCCAATAGAAGAATTGCTCTATTTTCTGTAGTCAAAAACAAATGAAAACTAAGAGCTGGCATTTTCCAAGAGGTCTAATGAGGGGTGCCTTGAATCCAAGAAGTTTGAGAGCCACTTCTCTAAGCTCTTAGCTCAAGTCTCTGGTAACTTGAGTGAGACAGGAAACGTGTAACAAAAAAGCCTGCCTTGTCTGTGTTCAAACAAGTAGTCGAGA